TCACCCTGACAATAAAATAGTATTTTCTTGTGTTTAAAGGGGATTTCCTACATTTCCAAATGTGTCCATTTAATCTTGTACTGTCACTGAGGTCCACTGGGAAGAATCTGGCTGTATCTCATTTACTATCCTTCTCCCTGCTTCAGTCAGGCACATACACATATAATATCTCCTCTAAACTTTATCATCTTCATCCTAAGCAATCCAAAAGATACCTGGCCATCAAAACTGGAATTTGAGGGAATACGTCACTAAATCATTATAAATCAGTAAATCACTTGACCTTATCTAAATCTCACACAGATGGAAATTTGTTATGCCTTTTCAGTAATATTGTTCCTGTGTGATACCTGATAGTTTCTCAAGGAAGGGAGAAGGGATGGAAAAAGAAGAAAACCTCCAAATCTGACCCGAAACTATATTCTTATTAATGTGTTGCCTTTTAATTATGTTATTCCAATACTGAAGGAGTGATACAGAATTCTTGTTTTGATATTTTCAGACTCTTAAAAGTTGGACTGCTAGATAATACTGCTAGAGCTAAATAGCTAATAGTATGTTCACTGGAGAAAAGTGATATTACTCCATGGGCACATGAGCTATAGTAATATTGAAACATTCAGTGGAACTGAAGATTGGATTCTGAAAAGTGTGCAGCTTCCAGTGATTGCTGTAAACAACACCATTTTAAAAAGGCAGCTTTTCAGAGGCATGGAAATGAGAGCTAAGCTTTATAGAAAATCTATTCTGGATGACTTCATTATTTGAACAGAAAAGAAGAGCTAGTAGTGATTTCACATTAACTAAACTATATAAGCAAAATATAAATATTTGGATAGCATTTGAACACAAAATTCTTTTGCATTTTTTCCCAGAGCTGAAGCAAAGTCAGGAAGTGCTGTTAGAATAGGGGAGTAAATGGATGCCAGCAAACACAGCAGTGGCAAGGCTGGCTCTCCAGCAGGAAGGCAGACTGGCAAGTGCAGCTGAATGGGAACATCATTGATGCTGCCCTGAGAGGGGTGACACGGCATTGGCTTGCTAAGAGGCAAGGCAAGGAAAAGAAGTAAGGTTGCTATTTATGGCCCAAGAGAATTCAGTCCTTTGTGGTGTGACGTGTTGTCTGCACATTTCCAAACTGCAAAAATAGCTGCAGTTCCCAGGGTTAGAGAAATCCCTGTCCCATAGTACAGGGTGGGACTCCTGCTGCCTTTGATGCTAAGTACCACCACTGTAACTGCTTGGTGAGGTTTTTTGCCTTTGAAGTTCCCCACTGTCAATGAGACCAGACTGTCCTGAAAACCTCTTTGTAAAACGAGCTCGAGATGTGATGTCAGGTTCCTCGAGATGTAAGGGCACCTTTCCCTCCCTCCCCAAAGGGTTTGGTGGTTTGAGCCTTCCCTCCTTCCAACATCTGCCCGCACAATACACGGAATCAGTCGTTCAAACCGCTGATCCACCGAGCGACCTGAGAAAGTGCGTGGGCCCTTCCTTCCATACTGAAATGTGTACCTAAAACAATTGTTTAAGGGAGAAGAAACAGGTGGGGGAAATACAACTTCTGTTGAGCTGAGGAGCTGGAGAGGAGCCAGGTGCACTCCAGGAGGAGCAGGCAATGCTGTAATGTTTGCAGAGAGCTTGAAGGCAGCATAAAAAAAAGAGGCTTCTAAATGTGAGGAAAAGTACCAGTATTTCAAGGACAGACATGGGGTTGATTTAGACTGATACAATAGGACTTCCACAAAAGAATTGGCTCTAATTTATTTAAAAACAAGAATAATACAAAAGAACTAACCCCTACCTAGAACTCAACATGCTTAAGGTAAATTTTAGAGAAGTTGCAGGTACTTATTTTCTTGACTAAATTTCAATGGTTTGCAGGCTGTTATAGGAAGGAGGGAAGAGAACTAAAGGTGAAAGCCATTACTGATGTGCTTCAGTCCTGTTTCTTGCCAGAAAATGAAAAGCCTATTCCTGAATGCCTGAATATGGGGAGAATTAAAAGCAGGACAAAGAATCAACTGGTGGGAATGTCAAAGGTCCAAGGCTTCTCTATTCTTTTCCACACACATAGCCAACCTAAAAAACCTCACAGTAGCATTCACTTGAGGCTTTATTGTTTGGTTGGTTTTATTTGGAGTGTTTCTGTGCTTCCTGGGATTTATTCCTGCTCTCCTTTATCACATGTGCATGCCCACCCAAATGGATCAATTTCTGGAAGATTTTCATCCAGCTTGTAAAAGCATTTCCCCTCATAGTTTTGGGCTTTCTGTACTAGAGTCTGAGCAGTAATCTCACACTCAAGAAAAGCTTCATGTTCTTCAGTTTCAACCAGTCACAAGAAATCATTGCCACTATCAGCAAGGTACAGGAAATTAGGTAGCTCACAATTTATTGAAAACATTTTGGACACCTACCTTTCCCCCCATGAGTTCTTGTCACTTTCTTGAAAGAAACGTGGTTTGTATGTTTCGGGAAGGGTTTCTTCGAGCAAGATTTTATGGTACATTGGTCATCCTTAGGGTTTTTTTTGATGCTGCAATTTCTCTGCATCCTACTGCCCAATCAGCCAAAGGCAGCAATGTACAATGAAGTGACTTGCAGCCTATTTTAGGGACAAGTGATGGGATCCCAGGCCAGGCCTACTGAAAGCAGTGGTATCAGGCTGTGATCATCAGAATTTGTTTTGTTGCATTTGTGAAATGCCCCCACAAGGCCTGCAGGAAAATCATCACCTTCCTATCATCAATGGACTTTTCTTTTATTCCCTATCATTGGTATAGGCAGATGGTTTTAGAGGAATAAGAGGATGTGAAATTCAGAGGGGTGTATTTACTTCCCTCTGGAGAATGAATTATATTGGAAATTTGGCTTTAATGATGTGTTTCTTTGACATTCTTCCAACCATAGTAACTTTCTGCCTTGTGAAGTCATGTGTGAACTAAATAAATGCTTTCCTGGGAGGCTCATTTGCCATCTATGCTGGTAGGTAGGTATTAGGTAGTCATTTTGCAGCTAATGAAAGATAAATCAAAGTCACCACAGGTGATTCATAGAGGGAATATTTCTCTTCTGTTTAGATACAGGGAAATGATGTCTGATTAGCTGGCAGGTCTACATTTTTGTATTTTAGGAAGTTCAGGTCCAAAGTAGGACAGGTGCTTATTGTTATAGCTGAAATTAAAATGCAAACACATTAAATTTAATCTTCTCACTTGGAGCACAGAACACAATAATCAGAGGTCATAAGCATGCTTCCCTTAGGGACAGTGTCAGAGCAAAACAAAGCTCAGCTCTTTTGTGTCTCCTGGATACAGGTAACTTGCTGCATACAATTTTGTTATCCAGCCACCCAGAAGAGAATTATGTTGAAGAGTATAGGTATGGAAAACATGTGCTCCCCAGGACTGTGGAGAATTTCCTGAGAATGTGTGAATTAATTAATTGTAAATTTACCAAGTGTTTTTCTTGTGTGAAATTGTTGACAGATGGATTACAAACAGCCAAATACTGAAGTTTACTAGGGAAAGTGAGGGCAGTGATGGTCAGGCCATATTCCTTCGGTGCTCAGAAATGCTGTGTACATTCTGTGTTTAATGGATTGATTTTCAGGATTGATTTTAAGGGGGCACATGATGGAACTTTGTGCAGTGTTCTGCTTCTTCCCCATCTCTGGCATTGTTTATGCAGTGCTGGTACCAGGCCCATCAAGCTGCCCTGCTTTAAAGGAAACACCTCCTGCTACTTTTGCACCCTGCAGCTCTGCCCTGGAAAAGAGGGCAGAGCTCTTTCCTTTCTCTCTTTTCTGGGAGAAAGGAAAGCATCCCCTGGAGCATCATAGCTGGCACAGGGGCGTGGGGTGTTCTGCTGCAAAGCAGAAGTAGTGTCCAAATATCACTTACTGGGAGCTAAACAGAGGTCAGTAGAATGATTTTGTGCAGCTGAAATGGGAATGAAGTTCCTGATTTATCTTCCACAAGCAGAGTGGCTTCAGCTCCAAGGAGAGATACCTCTTGCTGACTTCTACCCCACCCAGCAGTGGCAAGTGAAAGCAAAACCCTCTTTATTATTGTCTGTAGTGCTGCTGCACAGTGTTAAACCATCTTTCTTCTTAACACCTGGAAATTCTTTTGCTCTCAGCATCTTAAGTAATAGTTTGGCTCTCAGTGAGAAGACACCTCTAAGTAGAATTTAAATAAACTAGCTTTCAGCTGGGGCATGGTGGCCAAATCTAAGTGCTGGACTTAAGTGTATTTAATTCAATATTTGAGACTCTTTGTTGCCTCAGACAGGCAAACTATGAACAATGTGTTTCCACAGCAACAGGAGTCTGACAATGTTTGGGATACTATTTTCAGCTAAGTGGATGTAAAATAACTGCAATTTTTTTTAAAAGCTGTAATAACTGCTTTAAGTGCGTTTATCCCTGAAGAGAATTTCTGTACTTATGTATTCCTATCCGAGGAGTTAAGAAAATTGTTGTAAAAATGCACATTACCAGCATATCTAGACTATTTAAATGGTTAAAATGTATCAAAATAATCTTTCAGCAGTCCTCAGTTTTATTTATTCTTTGTCTAATATCATGCAGTTAAAGTAATCTTCATTCATTTTTAACTACTGATAAAAAGTATGAAAAATGAGAACTGTTGAAAAAAAGTAATTTCTAAACCTTGCTTCAGTCACATGCAAGAGAATAAATTGTGTGCTATTTCCACAGTGTAATTTGGCATCCATAGCCACTAAGGAAGCAAAATTAGGTCAAGAATATGACATCCTCATTTCTAATCAAACTATTTATTTGAATGCATTAGTTCACTGCAGAGCTGATGATCTCCCTCATGGTTTCCACACCTACAGCTTCTTAAAAACAGTGTGACTGCCTTTTTAGGCTGCAATAAAATCGTCACTTGCCAGGGAGAATAAAAAGCCTATTTTTTAATACTGTTATATTAAATAAGCCTGGATTTCTTTGGTGTACTCAAAGTCTTGCTTTATTTTCGATTTCCATTTGTCTAAAGAAGCAGTGAAGTTCAGTAATGTATGGTGTTGGCTTTAGGTCTGAGCACCTGAGTCTCTGCAACAGAAGATGCAGGCACAGATACCCAGGAGAAGGGGCTGATGGTGTGAGGTCATTTTCCTGCTGGATCTGGAGATGGTTGTTGGGGTCATCTGCTGGACTGTTTCAGCCAGGCATTCTGTGGTTCAGAGGGGATGGGGGCACAGAGAGGCTGCCTTTCCATGTGGTGCTTGATCACTGGCGCTATGGATATGTGATTAGGAAGGTCTAGCATTTTACGTCACTGCATCTTTTCAAACCCATCTTTATTGAGGAGATTATTAGAAGGTAAGACCCCAAATTCCTGCACATGGGTGGGTGAAAGCAGAAATGTTGGATATGTGTTGGAATCAGGGTAGATGTCTCTGTGTAAGTATCTGGTCATTTCCATAAGCAGAGTTAAGGTATTCTGGAGATAGGTGTGTGCTCAAGTTTGATTTCTCTTGCTGCTTCCATGAATCCACCTGTGAGCAAAACAATGAGTATTCAGATGTGGCAGGCAGAAAAATACCTACTTTGTCTACTAGTGATGCTGATGCTGAAGCCTCACAGAGTCCACCACAGATTAGTCTTGTTATTTGACTAATTTTGTAGCTGTGTGGAGTTGAATATTAAGTGCAGCTTACTGCAGGCTATTACAATAATAGGTTGGACATACTTGAATCGTGTCATTGTTGCAAAAGACCGTAACTACAGAAATTGCACAAGTCCCTTCTTTAGGACAGGGTTTGAAAAAAGCAATTAGTGAAGAGAATAAAAGACCATGTTTCCTTGTGAGGAAATTTTATCTTCTGAAGGAAGCATTCCTTAAGAAAAACTGGCAGACAGTGATGTCTGTAGAAAGAGAATTAAAGCAAATTGATTTTATTTCTGGGCTTAGGATGACTGCATGGGAGCGCTTTGGGTAAAGTATTCTCTGAGTTCCACAGTACCGTATGATGAATGTCACTGCAAGGCACTAATGCACTTCTTCAAGGAGACGGGTGTTTAAGCTGTGGGAGCTGCTCAGGCTCTGAGCAATCACATCTCATTCCTGGAACCTGACAAAACTAAGAAACAGCATAACACATTATGAGCACTAGTACATACAAAGGGCGATATTTCTATGTAAGCAGGGACATGGCAAAATTTAGTGGGTTTTTTCCCTTTAGTGTGTCTTTCTGAAATTACTCACTGCTCCTTGGTCATTTAACTTGCACCAAGTTAAGAGGTAGAGCCCTTCCTTGGAACGATTGTTGCTCTATATTTCTGTGAATAATCTAAGTTGAGGTCTGCCTTGTGTTATTCTAGGTTGATATTGAAGTAATTGCATTGATGTTGATAGGTATGGAAATGGGATAAGTCAAAAGGTCCTTGTAGGTTCATAAATCCATGTTTACCCCAAGGGTAACCCTTTTTAATGGTTACTATTTCCTTTTCTGATCCTTGTGCTGTCCTCTGACTTTTAAACAATTATCAAGGATAAAACCAAAATAAGTAGTATATCTTTAAGATAGTCATCCTTCAAAAGGACAAAAGCTTTTCTTTTTTGAGGAAGAAAATGCCCAGTTGAAACTTCAAAGGCATAGCTGCACAGAACTGATTGAGCTCCTAATGCTTGAAAGCACATCAAAGAATCCTGGACTTATAATCTTCATATTTTATTCATGAGCGCCTTAGAAGGAAATGATTCAGCATCAGTGAATTTGCAAGCAATGACACAAAGAAGGAGCATAGAGTAAAGACCCCTATTTTAATGAGGGGTGGGGAAACCTACTATAAGAAAACATCATAATCAATACTGTTGTAGGGAAAGGAACAGAATGCCTGACTACATGAGGAAATAGTTTATTTAGCCTGTAACCACTGAGTCTTCATTTGCAATCCATGCCTGATGACCAGCAAGTCCTTGTCCATGTGATGAGTCAGCTGGCAAGGCTTCAATGTCCTTTTTTCCACTGCAGGGACAGCCACATCATAAAATGTCTGCTTTTTATGGGTCTTGGCTCCAGTGCTGATTGAGGCTGGAGGCTGAATCTTTGTTTCAGCCTGAAGATGTTTGTCAGCATATCCTTGACCCAGGTCATGATTTCTGACCCCAAATGTATTTGGAATGGCAGGTTGACAGCATTATCCAACAGTCACCTAGACCAGGCTACTTTCTAAGATAGGATGAACTTTTCCTTCTTCCCACCAAGTGTATTAAACCTGTTTAAGATGCTCTGTGAAAACAACACTGGTCTTGCCAATGCTTCTTAGCTCGCATAGGTGTGAGGAAAAACCTTTCTAACTTAAAATAGACTAGATCTGACACAAGGAAATACTTCATATCCCATCCACTGTTTACTCTGAGATCATATTTGGTAATCCTAAAATCTGTTAGTGGAAGTAAATGTAATAACGGGAAATAATTGGTGGTTTTATATTATTTTTTTTTAGTCCTTTTTTGCCCTGAGTCTGGAAAACCCTGGGCAATTTTCTGGAGCCGTGATCCTCACCTCTATCCCTTCTCTTTCAGTGTGTACACAAGCTTTGTCAGCTGAGGTGGTCAGCCAAGTTTGGTTGGCTTGAGTAATTCCCTGGCAGAAGCTGTCAGAGATCCCTTCTGTCCCTTGCTCAGTGACTTTTATCAATGAGGGTGCTGTTATTCTTTGAAATGTCTTTTACTGCACTGGCTTTCTAGTAGGGAACCTTTAGATCGTTTTTTCTCCTATTTCTTTGTTTAGCTTAAATGTTCTCCTTTCTTCCCATGCCCACGTCTTTTCTCCTACAGCAGTGTTCTAAAAATATTGAACCAAGAAATTAATGTCTGCTTACTTCCATGTCCCCAAAGAAGAGTGAAAATCAAGATGTAAAAGCAAGTTTTCATGCTTTGTTATTCCCCATTTGTTCTGCTGCACTGAGAAATTGAGATGTTAATAGGCAGGGCAGCAGGCCAGATATCAGCATAGTGCAGAAGGTGCTTGCTGGAAGTATATATGATTTTATGCCTGCATTTTGCTTTTGTAGCTTAATGTGTAAGGAAAGACATTACATTTTTCTGGAAGTGTAGCTGATTGATTGAAAAACTTGACTGGAAATAAAGAGGTCTGGCGTAGAGTGTTCCAGAGACGCTAACCTCCTTCTTTTTATTCTTACTCTTCTTTCATCTTGCAAGCTTAGCCACGGTCTTTACCCTTTGTCTTTAACGCTTGGAGAATGCAGCCTTTCAAAGATTAGAGTCTTTTAAAACTGACTTGAATTTCTAAGGCTAGCTATTGTAATTGTTTTTGGGAACTTTAGTAATCTTTAATTGTTCCTTTGTATAATGAAATAAAGGTCTTGTGGATCTAAGGAAGAGGAAGAAAAGGTTAAAACAGGTCACCTGATAGCTACTGAGAGTGCAACACCTGCTTTCTATGCAAAGAGCTCTGGATAGGAAAATGTTCAGTGAAATCTCTGCCTTGTGCCTAGTTAGGGAGAGCTGTTGCTGTTAGGATCACTAAGTGGAATATTGGTTAATACGTTCTTATCAAAACAAATATGATTATTTTATATTCATACAATACTTAATAGATAAATTATTAACTATCAAAATTTTACTCATTGGTAGGGAATGTTTTTGTATTACCTTGAAGTTTATTAACAGGCTCTTGCTAATCTGTGTTGCACCTTTTGATTTAATATCACAGTTCACTGGTGATTGGTTTTGCAGAGACACAACTTTTTCAGATGTCTTAACATCTAAAGGTTTAGTAGAAGCCCTGGACCTTGCTGGGATGCTGCACAGTATTCACTGTCTGATATTGCCAGCAAAAACTCTGCCTTTCTCACACTTTTGTAGTACTTCAGCCTAATTTCATTGAGCATGTGTTCACTCTATTGGGAAATAAAACTTTAAGGGTTTAGACATTAGAGTTTTGCTGAGAAGTGCGTAGCCATTCATCTTCTTTATTGTCACTTCTTAGCTCCACCAGCTGAGTTTGGTAAGTGAACATATGGGATAGAAACCGTGATAGACTGTCCTGTCTCTCCCAGCCTGCCTTGTGTCTATCTCATCTACTCCTACTTTTTTGTCTTCTCATCTGCTTTCAGAAGGAGTCAATTGGTTGATATTAATAAGTACTACAAACTGCAAAATAGTAACTTTGACATATAAAGAGCTGTGTCTTCATGATGACCTCTTCTCTGAAGAGACATCTTCATTCAGATGACAGCTTGGTTGTCTGAAGTGTTCATGGATTGTTCTGAAATAATTTAAAACCAATCTTTAAGTTATCCTTGTATCACCTTCGTTGCAAGCAAAAAATTGCTATGAGATCAGCTGTGTGGTGTTCATCCCTCCTGTGAGGGTCTCCCTCAAAGCACATTGGGAATTGTCCCCAGTAAGATGCATAATATACATTTTTTTAATATGTAGACTCCATGTTGGATGTGAGCAGAGCAAAAGCCAGAAGAAAAATTAGTTATACCCATGCTCCATCCCATGTGTCTATTATGAAGCTACAAGGATGTGATTTCTGTAGGCTCCTGCGGATAGGGCTGGAATTATCATAGACCTCACTGTGTTACTAAGTGATCTGTCTGGAAGGCAGGTCTTTCCACATCTACACACCTCAGAAATTACTTCAGGACTACTCACATGGCATTTTCCATTCCCCTGAAATACACCTTTTTTGTCCACAATAGAAGTTCTTTCACAATAGAAATGTGTATTTTCTAGCCTTGTGTTTTTAATGATTGTCTGTCTGGATGCATAGGGAAACACACCCGACAAGGCTCCTAAACTTATTTTGCCGCAGGAGCTTCTTTTACCCATTCTGACAATTTGTAGAGTTTGATGAATGATTTCAGTGATAGCTGTAGAGAAAAACTTCATTTCTGTAGCACAGTGGATTTTAATAAGAGATCTGATCCAGAATAGATGCAGCTCCTACCCTGGGGGTTAAGTGTAAAAATGAAACCTATGCAAGCAACCATTTCCTTGAAAACTGCAAACTTTTGGTGTGGTCTTTTCAGATCTATTACACAGGGTCAGGGTAAGACTGTTAAATGGGTCTTAACATAACACTGCCTTTAATCAGGGAAACTGCTATTGCATGGAGGAGTTTCCAGGACATCTTAAAAAATATTTCACCAAATCACTTGGCAGTCTCACTTTGCATGAAACCAATGGCACATTTCACTTTTGACTTCCTAGCAATGGGATTTTCTTTCTGTTACAAAACATTACTTCATTTTTGTCTTGGCTCAGAACAGATCCAGCTGGTGCTGGGTAGAAGAGCAAGTGCAATGTTATCCACTGGAGTTTTGTGCTAGGTCAGTTTCTACATAGCTGTTTCATGGGAATGGAGTCTCCAAAATACATGTTGGCTTTGTTCTTCCCTTTTTCCCTACCCTTGCTTTCAATTAAAAGTACAAATTGTCCATCAGCTGTGAAAGCCCTTCTGAAATTTGAAGTTGCAGTTGCCTACAAGTAGTGAACCTATCTTGAGTGCAGCTTTTAAAAGAAGTACTGTTAAAGCAGCCAGCTAAGTGGGTCACACTGAGAGGCTCTTACTGCTGTATTTTAGTGCTCCAAAATGACTATTTACCTCTAAAGTCTGTTCATAATATTAGGAGCCCCAAAAACTTCATACTACAAATGTTTCAGGATACAGCTAATGTTATCTGCTGTAGATGCACTTTTGTATCTTTTGTACCAGAATGAAGTCAGTATTTGTACATGGCCAGATATCTGGGGTTGGAAAATCAGCCATACAATTCAATCCACGTTGATATTTGGCCTTCAAAATATTATTTATACAAATTACTTTGACAGCCATAATACATGTGGTTGCAGACATTCTCTTTATTCCACACTGGATGTCTGCTTCTAAAACAAAAACACTGCAGAAGTTCAGCAGAGAAATAGAGAAGTAGGAATTAATCCATTGGATAAGGTAAGCTGGAAGGAAGGAACATGAAGATTTCTTGGTCCTCTCTAATTAAGTATTAGCAGTCATTATGGAAAATAGCTATTATAGGCATATTTTGGCTTGAAACTGAATTTCCTCTGTGGGCTTTAGGAAGTATTGGCAGCTTAACATATCTGAGACTTGGTACCGAGAAAGTAACAGAGTATTGAGGAAGTAATGAAGTGTCTTAACAATTGGAACCACAATTATGTTTTTAATTACTTTGCACAATGATTTTAAACTACTGGAGCAATCCATGCTTTAACAGCTCTCCCATTTCTATGGGATTAGGTGTTGGGCATGTCTAAAGCAATTTTGCAGTCAAACACTGTAGGTGTTAATTAATGTGATCATTGCTTGTGTATTCAGCAGAGGCCTAAACTTGTATCATAACAAATTAGAGAAAGCTGAGTCAAGCTTGGCACAACCAACTTTACAGCCAACTGCTCATCTGCAGCTCAGGCCCAAGGCATCCAAATTGTATTATACAATCCAAAGAGCAGTAAAAGGGAGCCACCAGCACAAACATTGGATTTGATGCATTCATTTTGCTGTCAAGTGTACTTACATTGCAGTGCTCATGCATTTGGCTTTTGCAGCTTTCTGTCATCATTCTGTTTCTCATTACAGGGTTGCTGAAGAGGGAGGCACTGGGGTATTTCAATTTTTCCCTGATGGTCCCAGCCAGTAACTTAAATACCTGCTTTCAGGTTCACATTTTTCTGGTTAGCCTCCCATCTAGAAACATTCCTCTTTACTCCATAAACTATGTCAGGTAGAGATAAAGCCCTTTTTAAGGGAAGGCTCTTGAGATCTCCTGTCATAGATCTTATCTTCGCAGCATCTGAAGTATTTACCCAAAAGAGAGCCTTTGCATGTTGTTACCTCCTCTTTTAAGCAAGAAGTCAACAAGAAGAGGAAATTGATAGTTGGGTCAGTTGCTCCTCCTTCCTATGTGAACTACATGCTTGCATGGAAGAGAGAAAGAAGAATGTGTTCAGTGTGTGAGGGGAGAGTGGAATATCTTCAGTAAAAATGCCAACAGTTTATGAAATCTGACCTGCTTTCTGGCGTGTTTCAGAGAGGATGAAGGAGGTTCCCTGAAGTTTTAAAGAGGGGAACTTTTAATTCTGAGGAATTTGGAGAGGGCTATGGATGTTGTGAGTGATTGGCTGATGGCCTTCATGGAATTGACTATCCATCAAATCTAGGCTGCTGGGCTGCTTCTAGAAGGATTTAAAGAAAGAGGTTTCTAGCACAGCAATTTGTCCAGTGATCCAACCATGTAAAATCTGTGTAACCAAATTTCAAAAGCGACTTTTGTTATCCTCTTATTCTGAGAAATCAGGAGAAAATACAATTTTATCCCAAGTTAAGGGAGAATGATTGTATTAGAAGAGCCCTGGGAGTTTAGCCTGGGAAGCTTTTCACAGGGTCTGACGAATGGCTGTGGAGCCACCTGTTCTGATCAAAAGGCAGGCTGTCTGGTGGGAAGGCCAGAGCTGAGCACTTCTCCCTAGCTGATGTGGTGACCTACTATTTGCCAGCTTAGCAAACTGAAATGGCTCAGTGCAGGATTGGAGGAAAGCCAGTGCTGGCAAAGAGTGCAGGGCTGCAGTTTGTGGTGGATAAAAAAAAAAAAATTAGGAATGTGACAGCAAGCTATTAGATCAGCCCAGGCTAACTTGGAAGCAGAGGTTTAATTTTAGTAATTTTTTTCAGTGTTTTGACTGATTCCATGCCTTGTACATCCCCCAAAGATTTCCCTCCTTGTGTCCTAGTAGGCCCACTGTCCTCTAAGGACCACCATGTGCTGCGTTACTGGTGCTTTCCACTTCCTCAAAGTATGTATTCCCAGCAAACTGCACTGAAGCTGCAAGCTGTTTGGCTAAACCTACTTCTGAAACTCTGAAACAAAGCCCCCTCAAAGCCATGTTTTTTCTAAGTAGGCAGCTTTGTCTCTCAGAGGTGGCATAGAGGAGGAGAGAAGTAGTGTGGAATTAGCAGAAGTCTGTTGCTGGGTCTTCAGTCAGGGTCACAGGAGCTGCCTTGAAGTGGTGCAGCACCAACAGAGATTTTCCTGTCTGAGGCTTTGGACACATAGTTGAAGTTTCCATCCTTGTTACTTCTGCATGTTCTCTGCCAAGTTTCAGTAATCCAAATCCCTGTTCAGATGGGGGTCTTGAGGGCTTGTACTGTCCTTACTTACATGAACAAGAATCACATCTGTGGTGCTTTACAGCTCCCACCTATTCAGATGGCAGTGCAAGGTGGATGTGGAATAAATAAATCACGGGCTTGGGGGAAAAAAATAGGTGCATGGCTGCATTTCAGATGTCACTTGTGTTGCAGTTAGAGAACCAGTTGTTCACTGCCAGTCAAATCGTGGAATTGTAGAATCATAGAATCCTGGAATCATAGCATCATAGACTCATAGAATGGTTTGTGTTGGAAGGAACATCACAGATCATCTGGTTTCAACCCCCTGCCATGGACTGGGATGCCTTCTGCCAGCCCAGATTGGCTGTTTGCCATGTGGGAAGTGCAGGCTTTTGCTGAGACTTGGGTAATGACAGTCTCATCTGAGAGATGGTGAGCCCTTGAAACTCCCTTTGTCCAGAGGTGGGATTTGCAATGGATGGTCATTCCCAGCTGCCTGCTGTGGTTGGGGAGGCGACTCCAAGGTTGTAGGTAGCATGGTTACCTGAGCAGTGTGCTCAACTCCCCTGATAGTGCAAAGAGAAATGTGTGAGTCAATGACTATCACCAAAATTATGCAGGATTCTTTCAAGGTTTGGCAAAATTTGGCTTGGTTTGTGGATTTGACAGCAGCTTTGCCCAGGTCCCTACATGCAGCATGTGGTAATGGCTTGTGCCAATGAATGTGTCAGTCTGCAGTTTTGTCCTGCAACCTTTTCCAAAAAACATTTATTTTACTGTTAACTTTCAATTTACATGTTTTAAATATGATTTATACAAATGTTCTGCACTGTGCTGTTTCCTAAAGGATGATCAAGATGGGCTGTAAGGATTCTTGACTGTAACACATATGTGAAATATGTACATATGGACAAAATTAAACAATAGACCCTCTCTTATTGGCCAAAAAACAAGAATACATGTACCTTACATGTACCTAATTATATACTGAAAATCTGTATTACTATCATTCAAATTCCATAATAAAATTCTTGATCTTCAACCTCACTGAAGAAACATATACAGAAAATTAACTCTACCTTTTATTTCACAAGACTATTTCTTTGTTAAATTCTATTGTTATAAGACTTATTTTTCTACCAGTAAAGTAATAAAGATATAAAGGTTCTTGTGAATCCACTGTCTCAGGTAAACATCATTTATTCCCTCAAAAGAGATGCTGTGGTTTATTTTAATGGAGCAGCATCTGTTCATTCAGAATTGAGTTCCCTGAACAATAGTTAATAAAGATATTGCCACTAAATACACCCAGCGTATTTTTTATAATAATAACATAAACCCATACAACTAGGGGGAACAAGAACACAATAAATGCTCTTGTCTGCTTCCCCCCTTCCTTCACCCTGAGGGTCTCTTAACAAAGAACTTCATTGAATTGTTAATTTTTTGGTCTGAATGCCTGAACACTGATAATTCATTTTCCTGGGAAGACTTGTTATGTATTCAATAGCAATAACCATAGGAAGATCTCTCATTCCTCTGATTGTGCAATGATATGGAGTCAATAATCCAAAAGCATTGTACTAAGTTGCTGCAGAGCCTGAGTATACAGAAGAAAGTCCTCATACATGCTTTTTTGTATTGTTCCACACTAGCCAAGAGTCACTGACCTTCCATCAATCAGCACACAGCAGTTTCTCATTCTTTAGAGTGGATATTAAGATTTGCAAATAGAAATTAAATCCCTCCAGGGGATTCTCTCCAAGAAGAGAATGGTGAGTGTTGTCACTTGATGGGGTTTTTGGTGGTGGTGGGATTTTTTTGGTTTCTTAAAATTATAAAAATATTAAGTTTCATTGCACTCATCTTGGACATCAGTTGGTAGGGTGTTCTTAGGTCTGGTAACCATTTCTCCTTTAAATTTACTCCTGGCCATTCATTGAAAGAGGTTTACTATCTCGTACAACAGCTAAACAAGACATGCTAACAAGCTGATGGTATAACTTACAGTGTTGTAGGAAAGATTTTTTTTGTAAACAATTGAATAGTATATCCATGTTATACAGTGATCTCAGAACACATTTTCCTCTGTTGACAATTAAGGAAAATTACAAATCGGACTTCTCTATTTTTTTTCTTATTTCTCTATGGGCTTATGTTGTTAAAGAGAAAAGGAAGATTGGGTGGCTGACTTAATGTCCCTCTATTTTTAATTTCTCTGGCTATGTATACTACTTTCACTGACACCTTTGCCCATTACATTTACATGTCACTTGATCCAGGACTGGCAGCATCTCTATAAAGGTCAGTCTGTAAAAGAGCCTGCTGGGATTTAGCTTCCCTAGAAGCATGCATCTTCACTGAAAGGAAGAGAAATGGTTAAATTTGGGGGGGTGGAGAGTGGGAAGCTTTTTTTGTTCCATTATGAAGGAAAAAGGCTTTCAAACAGTTCAAGCTGCACAACTGTTAACAATGCAGACTATTAAAGGGATAGCAATCAGCCTACACACCAGACACACAGATTGAATTCTTGCTGCTTGTCATGTAACCAGAGATAAGAGTATTTTCCAGTGACTCTGATAAAATAAATGCTGTCATAATGATTCTGAGCAAGACTCATCCAGATGTTGCAGACTTCTTGCTGTGGTATTTATTCATAAATCTTGTTAAAATATAATCAGAGAAAGCATGTCTCAATTAAAACCATCAAAACTCTGTGACAATGTTCGTGCAAATGAAATAATAATCCTAATGTGTTGACACAAAATTTGTGCAGTAAGTTACTGCTATATTTGAGCCTACTGATTAGAGCTCATTAATTAATACAAAACTAGCTTCTTACAAGTGAAAGAGGACATGTAAGTTCCTCTGTACATGAAGGATTATGGATTACCCTTTTTGCCAGTGTGCATATCACTGCTGGGACTTCCACAATGCTTAAAATTCATAAAGATTTTCATATGTATTAACTTGTACATGTGCTCATAACTTGCTTCCCTCACTCAGTCTATACAATTGTTACCTGGTCCTGGTGTGTGATACCATTTCATTCAAGAGTCTGGTTGTGTAAAATAATTAGAGAAGAATAGGAAGATGAAATTGAGTTTTTATGAACAATTTAGAGGACAAAACAACTTGCATAAACTAGGATATCACCACTCTTCTTTCAAACATTTGACTGTGCAGCCACAGCAGCCTGCTTTTCATTTCCCTCTGGTGAGCTGTCTTTAAAGAAGCAAAAAATACTTTAATTCTGTCTTTCCCTCTAAATAATCTGCTGCCCTGCTGTAGGAATACTTCTCCGTTACCACTGGGAGAGGATGGTTCTGAGCTGATGATTCTGTTAGGATGTGATCACGCCATGACAGATTTAACTGTGAAGCTTTAAGACTACTTGTGAATGCCTAAAGGAAACAACTTAGCTTGAAAATTGTAACATCATGTGTCAAATATAATTTGGGAGCAGAAAGAGCGCAGGGATAATTCTTGACGTCTGGGCTCAACGTTAAAGCTGGATGAGCTTTTTGGGGACTGAAGTGCTGCAGCAAAGTCTTGAGGATGCTTTCAAGTTAAGGCATGACTGGCCAAATGTATCTTAGCAAGTTCAGGAGCAGTCAAAGTAGCTGGATGGAGGAAGGCTAGGACACTTGGTTTTCTGGCATGCAGTAGCTTGCTCCCTAGTGACTTGTTTGTGACTGACACCACGGTGAGACAAGTTAGGACTCCTGCTAAAAATTTGTAGCAAGCCTGATAGAAACAAATTCTCACGCTGCAGGACAGAAACCACAATGCTGAGGCTTGTAAGCTGCAAATTGAGTCTGTAAGGCACAGCTGTGCAAGCCCAATGGCTTTATCTTTCAATAATACTGTGCACTGTTGCAAATGGTTCCCTGGGATTCAGATATGCTCTGATTGCCTTGCCCCATACCAGAGGGTTTTCCCATCAATCTGTCCACTGGCAGGCAGTTCCTCCTCTCCTGTCACTGCACAGCTAACATTTTCACACTTGGGAGAAATGTGCAGGAGACATGTGAAGCTGTTGCACTAATACCTGGCTTTAAGCCTTTTTACATTGTGTCTTGATGCTAGCCAGGCATCAAAAAATTCTCTTCAGCTCAGATTGGGAAAGGTGAAACTGAAAATAAAAGAACATAAAACATGCCCAAACCCTCCAAATTACACACTAGATCCAAGTTGCAAATTATAGGAGAAGGAATGAAAGGAAACTGCCCTTGATATAAATTCACTGATCTACAAAGTATCTCTCTGTGTACTCAGGGGAGTTCCTTTAGCGTTTCCCCATGAGAGATTGTGTCCTCCCACATGCCCTACATCTCAGACACTTTATGCAGAGAGGTCCTAGAAGACAGTCTCAGCTATTACACCTGATGACTTGCAGCCCTCCAGGGGTTCCCTTAAGTCACCCCATTTTCCCTCCAAAAATGCATTTTCCTTTGAGTTATTCAGGGACTGTATTTTTAGCTTCTGCTGGGAAAAGGACTCTCGCTTTTTGAAGATGCAGGTGCTACTTTTGCAGACTGGATGACGATTCCTGTGCTGGACTGGCCTGGGGTCATTCCTTAACTCTGAGAGTTATTTTCATCTCCCTCACTCCCACAGTGAGCCAATTTGTATGCTTCAGTGTGAAGTGTCTCCATCCACTAACCCCGTCTTTCTTCATGCACAAGCTGATGTAAAATGTATGTAGCTCATTTTTTTCTTTTGAGAGCAGATGCTTTGGGTGAAAAAATAGGTTTGGAGTGATTGATTCTTCAAATCAATCTTTGATATTCTAACACACAGAATTGAGCTACGTAGGTTTCTTTGTCCTTGCAAACCACACTGCGAGGCAGGAAAGTGCTATTCTCTGTATTAATCCTAGCAACCCAGAGCACAAAGAGGCTGAGAAGAGATTCCTCCAAGTATTTCAACAATCAGTATTGTTTAAGTGCCCCTCTATGGCTGAATCTGTGTGCAGGCCACAAGTCTCCTACTGAATACACCAAGTGCCCAAACAGTCTTTGCATCTTAAGTCCTGTGTGTTTCCAGAGCAGTCCTCATCCCACGCGGGCACAGCAAATGAAGCAGCTGTCTTTGCCTTCTAGACATTTATCTGCCTGTGTTTTAAAAGTCCAAGAAGAGATTGATGGGATTGGAGAAGCTTATGTTCAAAAGTTATTGATTAGCAGACAGCAGCCCAATACCTAGCCTGTGTGTTGGGGATGTGGGGAGATGAAGGTTGGATGCCCAGCTCTGCTTAAAACATTCAAAACTTTTCGGCATTTCAAGCAGAAGAAGAGCGAGCCTTGCAACTCAGGTATTTTATGGTGGGAATAACTCTCTCACAACTTTAATCTCTTTCAAAAAATTTGAGCTTATGTTGGAGCATGGATGGGTGCTTTGGGAGGAGGTGGAAAATCCCATATGAACTGCTGTGTTTGCCATCTTATGGTCCCAGGACTTTGATGTCTGGATAACAGTAGTGTGACATGTGCTAACGTCTGAGTCACTTAATCCATTTCATTGGAGTATACATCTATCTCACTCTTAAAATCTTGGGGTGTGGTACTGTTTCCCATTCTCATGCTGAAAAGAGTTGTTTGCAAGCTATCAAGGATCTGCTGGTTAAAAGCTATAAACTGTAATTTCATAACCCTTTATTGTCTTGAAGTGTGTATCTAAGGAAGCATTTCAGTAGTCTGAAGTAGTATTGACTCGTTCTCTAATGGATCTACAGCAAACACTACTCCTCTGTGGAGGGCAATCTAAGGACTGTGGCCCAAAAAACAAGTCATAGCTGAAATGTAATCATCACCAGCAAGAGAATGAGTTTATGACAGGAATTACTACTGGGAGAAAAAAATGTTTAGGACAGAACAAATACTTCCTGAAGGATGAATGCATGGCTTTGTGCTTATGATTGAGAAAGTTCAGGTTAAGTTTGCTGAGGGGGATATTTCTGCAAAATCTCTCTTGATGAAAGTCAGGTCCTTAATTTAAAAGGCTGTCATACTGTCTGCAATCTATTTATCAAAGTAGGATGGAAGACAGTTCTCTTCAAATTTATAGCCTCGTCAGCTTGTAAATGTAGAAGTAAACTGAAGTAGAAAGTGTTGTGCTGTTTTAAAAACTGATTACTTTCTGGAAAAGACCTCTGTCTCTGTTTGCTTGTCTCATTATTGTGACAGCATTTCTCTGATAGCTTGCTGCTGCCAATCCTTGTTAGACAGGCAAACACATAGGTGCTCTGTGGGAGCTGATATGTTGTCCTCTGGATGGACTTTGTCCTCTGTCTTCCCAATTTCCCTATGGTGGCCTACTGAAAACTGAGCACTGGGAAACTCTTGATTTCAAAGATGAGAGTCTTGTAATTATGGCTTCAATTTTCATCTGTCAGAGAAGCCCCATAGTCTTCATCTACCTCAAAGGTGTGAGATAGGGGTCCATGTGCACTAATATTTGGATGTTTAAATAATCCAAACTACTGGCTGAAATCCTCTCTAAAAGCACTGAACTGCCTTTGGAGAATGACATGACTGGTTCTATCACAGTGGCTGTAAAGTGACAGGCTCAGGTGTTTAAATTTAAGTGAAAGCAATGTTACCTATTTTACTCAAATCTTACTGGAAAGAGTTCTGCCTAGGCATAGAGGACCAGATGTTCAGGAGAGCTCAGCTCTCAGGCACTTAAATGAGGTCAGTTTTTCTCTTTTGTTTCTCTCCATGTAAGCTAGAAGGAGCTCAGCAGAGCTGCAAAGTGCAGTTTTGTGATTTCA